TGGACAGGCTAGGGCTACCCATGGTGTCTGGATCCAGGGGTGGAGGAAGGCTCCATGACACTGACCTTGACTTTTCCGGTATTGATTCTCTGTTCTTTTTTTTTTTTTTAAGTATTCACATTAACTTTATTTATTTATTTTTCAATAATTGAGTAAAACCGAAATTTATTATAAAGATTCTCTGTTCTTCATAGGATTTTGCTTTGATTTTTCTTTAATGTACTCATTTAAAATATTATTCATCTTGGTTATTGATTGTTTTGTTGTTTCCTGACCTCACTGGTCTTACCCTGTCCCCTCCGCACCGATTAGCTACATCCAGTCATCTGCGATTGGCTACTGGTTTTAGTCAGTTAGTTATTACTGAGCAATAACTAAAACTCTGATTGCTTTCACAGAGGAAGCCACCAAGCACATGCTTTGTCATGGACGTGGCTGGTTGACTCCTTCCTGTCCCTACTTCTAGAGGGCACATTTGACCTTCTGCCCATGCCCATTCTGGTTGTGCCAACCCTAGAACACTGTCTGGATCAGAGCTATGCACAGGGGCTCACCCCAATGACCAGCTAGCAAAGAACTCAAAACCCGGGTTCCCTATCTGCAAATGGTCTAAGCCAGCCATGAGCCACGCTGGGGGCAGATCTCAGCGGACACCTCTGTGTCCTCAGCTCTGTCCCTGCTCCAGCCTATGGTCAGGCCTCCTCTACGCTTCACCTGAGAATTAGTCACCAGCATAGATGTCCCCACCTGTTTCTGCATATGGAGACCAGGCCAAGAGCTCTCTGCCAACATCCTCACTGTCCCCTGAGCACCAGCTATGGCCAAACACCAGGGCACCCTGTCCCATACCGTGTATCATACATATCATGTCACCAGCAGGGTAATGGTGTCACTGTGATGCAATACCGTGTGACCTCACAGGGCTAAGTCATTACATCATCACACACACCACCATGTTGCCTCATGGTCACTGGACTGCCTCCCTGTCACGCCTCATCTGCTCCTGCCAACCACACAACAGGCTCCCATTTTACAGATGGACGGTGCAGGGCAGGGACATGACCAGCCCAGCACCACACCGCTGTTAAGTGGTGGAGTCGCCGGCGTGGCGGCGCAGGGATCGCAGTGGATCCCAGCATTCAGCCTCCTTTCGGAGAGACAGGAGCAGGAGAAAGCGGGGAGCCAGATGCGGGCTGCTCGCGCTGGCTTCCAGGGGCACCACGTGCTCTGGGAGTGGGGCTATAAAAAGCGCCACTCCTGAATCTGGGGCAGCACCGGCAGTGCCCCCAGAGGGCTGTTTCTGCAAACGCTATTCTCTCCAGGAAACTCTGGGGACGCCGCCGCAGGCATCCTGAAAGCAAACCTCCCTTGCACAAGGAATCTGCAAAACTGGGGGAGCTGTGGGGATCCAGGAGGAACTGAGGATGTCAACCACAGTGTGAGGTGGGACAGACAGCCCTCGGGTCTCAGAAGGGAAGACTCTGTCATTCATCCATCCATCCATCCATCCATCCATCCATCCATCCATCCATCCATCCAACCAACACTCCCTGAACAGCTAGTTCCTCCACATACATCAGTCTGACATGGAATAGAGCTGTGGTCGGTCCCTGCATAGTTCAGCTGCCTCTCTGGATCTAAAGTAGCCAAGGAAGAGTGGGACCCCACAGGCACCTCAAGCCTGGCACCACCACTCCTCCCCAAATCTGTCTCAAGCACATGCCCTCGAGATTTCCTGGTTTAGTGGGAGAAACCACCAAAAGGAACAGCCGGC